TTTCTCGTATTACATTTTACTCTACCTCTCCACGCTTCTCTATCCTACAAATGGAATATCCAATCCAAATCCCTGCTACATTACAAACAGGTCTACCTTTCCATTGTCTGAACAATCCATTGTTTTATCCAAAATTAGTCAAACACTCGTGAAATCCAATAACAGACATAAACTGAATTCTTACTTGAAACGTTCAAAACGTTCAAAACGTTCAAAATCTTTCAAAAGTTTCGAAAAATTCCAAATCTCTAACAGACAATTGGACAATTGGGTAATTGTTTCTTAAACCAAGCACGATACTTTTCGTTCGACATGTATGTATATGTATATATATATATATATATATATATATATGTATATAATAAATAAATAAATAAATATACATGCAATATGTATTTACATGCCTACCAAAACAGGTATTCGAATTTTTGTGTAAAAATAGTGCGAATAAAATTACCGATAAACGTAACGACAAATTTTTCGATTACAAGGATAGGCTGCGGAAGATTAAAATACAGAATTCCTGCACACACGATGACTTGGCTTATAGCTTTACAACTGCAACGTGAGTATTGATTTGCCGCTGTTGCGCTTTAGCTCTGTCGGTTCTGCTCCGTTCGCCGTCTTCGGAGGCTCTGCCAGCTGTGCTGAATGCTGAATCTTGCTCCTTTCCCCTATTATAGATTTCCTTTCTTTCGTTTCGTTCCTTATTACGCATATCGTTTGTCGTTTCCTTATAGGATACGCAACATTTTACTCGGCTTTCTCTTTCTCTCGGCTTGTTTCTGCACACACACTCTCTCTCTCTCTCTCTCTCTCTCTCTCTATATATATATATATATATATATACATACATACATACACACTTTTTGTTTTATTCTTTCTCTTTCTTTTTTGCACATGTCTAGAATAGAATACCTGTATCATCGTTAAATCAGTCGCTACTCCATTTTTTCTTCCACATGAATCTCTACCTCTGTCTATGTAAAACATATTTCGTAAAATTTTGTTTATTATATTTTTGTTTATTATATAATGTATAACTGAGATCAATTTAATTCTCGAGATCATAGCTACTATAGATAACAATGAAAAAAATTACACTTTTTGAAAATTTTTCAATCAAATAAGTACAAAGTACCAAAATGCATTTGGCAAGTATCCAAAGGTAAAACATCTTGAAATGATCATTGTGCATATTTTGAAACTGTTGTCATTTTTTTGTACATACAGTATTGCTCTTATTATTTTATGTATTTTTCGGATATCATTTTATCAATAATATTTGCAATTAATAAATATATACATTCGCAAAGTTAATAGTATCACGATAGTTTTTTGCGTAATTTCTACATGTATGAACACGATTGTCAGAAAAAGAGGAATCGTAAGAAAGAAAGAAAGAAAGAAAGAAAGAAAGAAAGAAAGAAAGAAAGGAAGGACGAAAGGAAGAAAGGAAGAAAGGAAGAAAGGAAGAAAGAAAGGAAGGAAGGAAGCAAGCAAGAGAGTAAGAAAGAAAAGAAGAAAAAAGAAACAGTTTCATTACTTTCGATCCCTAAGAAGGATATTCTTGTAAGAGGGGAAGGTAGAAGACGAAACGGGAATAACCATTGAATTCCTTGAGACGCAAGGGAAACCTAAGACGCACAGAACCTTCGAAGAGGGTTCGACCGACACACCCTATTCGAGTTCTTTTAGAGCAGGGTTGTCCAAAGTTCTGGAAGAAATAGCAGCTTTCTATCATTCGGAGAGAATCAATGATCATTTTTTATTTTCATTTCAATGACTAATTTCCCATTTGTTTCTCTTTTGCTTTATAAACAGTTCTATAATAGTTCGGCATATCAGCTGAAATTTATGTCAAAGAGTTTGTAAAGAGTAATTGAAAAACGACAGTTGATCAATTATCATTATCCTTGATAACTATATAGTATATAGTACTTTATATGTACCTTATACGTACTTACATATTTCACTTACATTATATCGCTAGCGTTTAACAAATGCACTGTAACTAATTTTTACTTATTTCTCACATCGCTAGTGACTGCAATTGTTTTCAGATTTAAATAACTTACTTAAACTTGTTTTCTGATATTCCATCAATGAAGCAGTAGTAAAATGAAATACATTAAAAACGTGTAAAGCGAAAAGGTCTTGACGCAAAAATTAAACAAACGTATGATATCGTTTTACATCTATTTTTTGGACATATCTTTTCCTTTGTTTTATGATGTCAAGATTATTATAAAACTCCTGTTTTATCTTCTTACTGTCTTTTTTTTTTAAGAAAAATAAATGCATGGAGATAGAAGCCTATTATTTTGCGTACTATTGTATTTTTGTTTCAAACATTTATTACACGTAATGTAACAAATGTTTGAAAAATTTACTAACACAAAACTAACATGAGAAATACCAATTAGCTGTCATTATATGTATATCATGGAATTTTTAATGCCCTATTAAAAAATGTTTACTAATTTGTGTCAATTTTATCAAATAAACCCAACCATCTTTGCAAATGCAGATAATTACAACTATTAATGAAACAGTTTCAATGAAACCAATTAAAACACATTAATTTTTGTTTTTTCTCTTTTTCTTTCCTCTCTCTCTCTCTCTCTCTACTCCTACTTTGAGAAGTAAAACATTTATTGATCGTTAAGAACAAAAAAAAAAAAAAAAAGATTTTCTCAATTATACAAAGGCTTGAAACCGGAATTTTCCAATACAGAGATACATGTCAAAGATACATGTTTTCCTAATATTCCTAAATTCTATAATCGATGGCACGCATTGATTTTTCTTATTTTTTCATAGAATTGAAAATTTCATTCTTGCAATTACGTATTACACGTGGAATTAACTATCGGTTCTAATATACATATGTACTTACATATGTAGGTATGATATCTCAAGTACTGACTGAGATACCATTCTCCTCATTCTTTGAATGAAATTGTTCTCAATTTTAATAATACAAGTTTCTCAAGATTCTTAGTTGCAAGACTCTGTCAATTTTCTTGAAAAACTACGATATTGAAACAACTTTTACAAATACAAAATACAAATACGTATCGTGAGCGTCATCGCTCCAAAGTGTCGAGTATTTAATGATCCAATGGTCGACACGGATATGTTAAAACTAAAGATATTCATTTGAACGAGACTAATAAAATTGAAAAAAATTAAATTTTTTAAATGGTACTCTTTCACGATTTGTCTAATAAAATTAGGCAAATCAATTAAAGCCATGACACATACATAATACGTACACGAGTCATTTTGAGTAATAGTTTACTCTTTCGGTCAAGAACGATTTTTCATTATTTTCAGCGATTTTTATCCAATAAATGCATTTGTTTATCGTAAGGCTCATAGAGCAATTCGCTTTATACGAATTGTTGATGGTTAGCTTCTACCCTGCCAAGCATCGCGCATAACCTAATAGTTTCGTTTTATGTCGGTGTTACTCGGCTATCTTCGCCAGACTTTCCATCCACAAAAATAGACCAACCAATTGCCAATGTCTATCACCCAACCATATCTTTTTTACTATTTAAGGCGCAATTGGTGCAAAATTATTTCCAAACGCTGGTTAATGATTTTTAATTTCACACTGTTGGAAAAATTTACTCACGATTGGATAATTTTATCAGACAGCGATGTTAAAAATTTGTACACTTTTATTTGAGAGGAATTACTTCTTTCCAAACAAAATTTTGTACGTACAAACGAACATATTTCAGTTTGAAATTTTTTAATCAAATCAGTTAATTTTAGTTTGAAATTTTAACAAGAGCTGTTTCATTAAAATTGAAGTACTGTTATTTATTTTTATTTCATTGTAGAAGTAAAGAAAGATGAAAAGAATTAACTTTTACATACAATAAATCTATGTACATATTATATATTGCGTATGTAATGTAATAATTACTAAAAAATAATCAAGTTATTTTATGTTAATTTTTGCGTATGTAATGTAATAATTACTAAAAAATAATCAAGTTATTTTGTGTTAATTTTTGCATTTGATATTCGATATTTGTTCAACTGCATAGTGCTGCGACGCATCAGTAATTTTACAAGTCAAATTCATTTGTAGGATTACTATCAATCGATGAGAAAAGATGAGATTAAATCTAGCTGTAATCATATTTTCTTTTTGTTTCTTTAAGTTTATCAGGGAAATGAAAAAAAAATTGGTCTTTCTTATATTCGTAATTTATGGATATTCTATCATATCGTATAACATTGTTTTCATTTATACGTATAATATATTAAATTCATTAATTGTAAACTCGAATATAATGACATGAGAAAATATAAAATTCGACTTCTTTTGCTTTGTTATAGTTTATTTCGAGCAGAATCTGTGTAACAAATGAAAAAGTTATTGATTTAATTTTATAGGAATTATAAATAACTAAATAATTATATTTTCTAACTCGATGATCACAAATGAATAATTTCTATTACACATATGCCTATCTGTTTTCACAAACAATCATCTTTAAGCACGTGTTTTCTCTTTGTCAGTGATATATCGCTACCCTATTTTCATTTAATTTCATTTAACTCTTGTTTTTAATGTTAATGTTCAACGAGATCGACATGCGAACAAAAGATTTATCTTTCAACAATATTACCATTTGAGTCAGTCTCCTCGCTCATTCGTTATCACATGTCCGAGAACAAGACTTTGCAAAAAAGGAATATCTCTGCTTGAACTCGTTTTCAGTAAACTATGATCGCTGTATTCAATTAAACTTCCAAAAGCTTCCAACTTCTCCTATTATTATACAGAAGAAGAAAAAAAAAAGAAATATTTTCTTGCAACACACTAAATCGTTTATTTCACCATGATAGCGATGTCAAGAAATGACGACGATGGCGATGATAATGATAAATAATTGACTATATTGTTTTCTTCTTGTGTTAGTTATGCACAATGTGCAATGTACAATACGTGGATGTGAAATCTTCGTACTACGTTAAAAACCGAGAAGAAACGAAAATACTCGAAACATGTATACGGGTTTAGAAACATAGATACACGTATGAAAGATGAACTTACCGTGTACCATAAGGGCGAATATTGCTGTTGCGAACAAGTTTCTTAACCACTCGTTGCGCATTTTTCTTTCGGATACCCAAAGATTCTGAGAAAGGTCGTGAGTCACGAACGAGATCCTTTCTTATCCTTGTAGCTTGACGTCAATGCATATTGATGAAAATTGAGTGGGAAATTATAGGTGAATCCGAAAGATACGGGTAAATAGAATCAAACGCCAGAAGGAACGCACGCACTCGATGTTGATGAGGTTAAACCGGTAAGAACGGCCACTCGCGAGAGGATTCTCCTTTCGAGTTTAGAGCACAAAGTAGCTTTCCAGGCGAGAGGCGTATCTTTCGGCGTGACACTCGCGCGCGCCTCATTTCCATGCCATTACACGTTACTACAAAATACGCGTACGTCCATACGTACGAGCAACGCACACCCACACCCACATTATACATCCGATACCCACCTACGCACACGTAGTAACAATATCCCCATGTATTTGTATACCAGTTACGTATACATTGATCACTCATTTATATTCACCAATGTGCATAGTGTATTCACAGTAACGCCAAGTAATGTTACGTTAAACCACTAACCGTCGGTCGATGATCAGTAGTCCCATTCTTATCGAACAAAACCGACAATTGCTTTCATACGATGAACTTCTGACACGACTGAACCAAGCGCGCGCGCGCGCGCGCGCACACATCACACGCACAGGCGCATATACGTATTAGAAATAACGCGCATATATACGCGTTTCTCAGTACACGTAATATACGAAATACGCAAAAGAAAACGAAATCACTCGCAATGCACTGGATGTCACAATTCTTCTAATACACTTTCATTCTCTTCCGAAGGAAGTGAGCAAGAGAGAGAAGAGAGAAGAGAGAAGAGAGGAAAGGAGAGGAGAGGAGAGGGGGAGGGGAAAAGAGAAAGAGATAGATAGAGAGAGAGAGAGAGAGAGAGAGAGAGAAAGAGAGAGATAGAGAGAGAGAAAGAACTATTTTAATTCTTTGATCGATCCAAACCGCGCGTCCTCATTGCCACTGATAAACGCACGATCACTTATTCAATGCGTTTCGTATTAGGTATCCATTTGTTCGGTCTCCTTCTATTCCCTATGGTGAGGATACGATCGATTGGTACCGTTTTTTCGAACAGCGGCGTTCCTTTCGAAATCGATCGCTTCGTGACCGACTGTCAGGCTACGTTTCGTTTCTCTGTTCCTCAAACGATTATTTTCACTCGTTATTAAATTTGCCATCTTTTCTCAAAAGAATTTGCGTTAATTATCGAAAGAGATAAAAATTGTACACCAAATTACAATACATTAAATAAAATATTCAATTTTTTTTAAGATAAAAACAATTCACAAAAATCGTATCAACTCTCCGCGACGATCGAGGCACGACTGAGGGTGCAGCAATTCTTTTGCAGTACCACGTACCACGCGACACTTCGGCTGCTTTCGAGTATCCTCGTTCATTTTCGTAACCGCTTTGGTTCTCGACCCTTGGTTCTCTCTCGCAATCAGTCGACGTTTCTCAGGAACGTAACTTAAGTACGTATCATTTCAACGTCTTTATTCTAAATTTTAATGCAGTAAAATCAATACGAAGATCTTTCTTTGTTTATAGTTATGATTAATTTCGTTTATAGTCTATATGACTATAACCAGCTATATCGAAATTATAAATTATAAATACAAGTTATCAAGGATACTATTAAAAAAAAATTTTAATAACTTTACAGTCAAGATTGTTGCCAGTGTGAAATAACTAAACGTGGTCGTAAAAACTACCATTTTATAGGTTTAACAGAAAAAAATTATTTTAATCAAGCTTTGTTCAAGTTGTGTAAATGACGTGTGTTTGTACGCACGTTATTACATGTGACCGCAACTTTTTCCATCATCCATCGTTCTCTTATTAGACGTGTTAAATGCATACATTGCACATTAGTTTAGTTCGCTGTTATATTAATTTACTATTGAATTGTGATAAATAAGACAAACTTTTGCGTTTAAAATTTCAAGTTAAGTATGAAAGTACAGAATTGTGCAGAATGATACATACATATGTACACCTATGTATACAAGAAGCAAATGCGTGCGTGTGCACGTACATACACATCTTGCTTATATATCCAAATTTTTATGTAAAGAAAACTTGTTGACCCATGCACAATTGAGTACTATGACGGGATCATGAATCACGGGATCAATCATATTGATAGAAGTAATTTAATCATTACAATGATAGTTCCGTATCATTTTATAGAGATACGTATATACATACATAGGTACATATATGTTTCATTCATTTTATACATTAAATTAACGCATACTTTATTCCAGGCACTGATCAGTTGTTACGGACTATATTATTTAATACATAATACGTATATTTCCGTACGATTGAAATTTTATAACGGTATTACGATATTACACGAACATTGTCAAACTACTTGTACTTAATTTTTTTTCCAACGATTAGAAAAAAAATTCAATTACAATTGCATACTTATTTGTTATTTATCCAAGTAAAATAACGATACACTAACAAACAAGTAATGAAGAAATTATTTCATTTAGATTTGAATACTCTGAGACAGTCTTAAATTTAATCAAACGGATCGAAGACCAAGATCTCAATGAATTTAATAGATGTCACAGCAACGGTAAATAAATTAATTTAAAAAACGTATTGTTTTTTCGACAAAATGTACGAAACATAAAGTACATAAAGTATATCTATATACACGTGTATATAAAATGAAGAGCTACACAATGTAAATTAAATAATAAACAATTTTGTTATGAAACAATGAATGAATCGATTTGACGAGGTATTTGAAAGATTTTGTTGTATCTTGTGTTCTTACGATCGTATCCTTTTTGCATTCTTATAAAAAGTGTTTGAATTCTTATGACAAATCAAATGAAATACCTTCTGACGAAAAAGTAATAAAGCAAATATTAACAAAAAGAAAGTCAATCAACTTGATTGTACTATACGTTAGACGTACGATGCATACATTTATTGTCCATTACAGTACAAAATTTCAGCATGATTTATTTGAACCGTAATGCTTGACATTCATCTCCAAATTCTTCAAGTTCGGTACGAAGAAAATATTGTAGAAGATCTGCAACTACTTGATAACGTGGTCTATTGAAAAATTCACCTATACTTTCGTGAATGTTCATCGAGACTTGTGAACATAATACGTATCTAGATATGAAAAATAATTTGGATTTCGCAATGTGGACGGATTTCACAATTATTTTACGATTTTTTGTAAAAATGATAAGTAGAAAGAAAATAGTTTACCTAAGTAAAATCGAAATCAACCCTTTAATTTCTGGATGTGTCTTCAGATAAATTTCATTTTTGCCTCTCTCGACAGTTTTTCTTGCATTTAAGTTACTTTTCTGATGTTTGCTTAAAGCTCCAATGTCATAATTTAGCATACCACGAGCCGGGTCTTTTGGATGAAAGGCACGAATATTTCCCAACAACTGATCCATAGAAACGTATTTACCACTAAACAGAAGACAATGTTTAGAAAGGAATCGAAATGAAAATTAGATAGGTTACTTTCGAAAAAAGAAATTCTGCCATTACGTGTCCTTTATTGTGCATTAAATTAATCGCTAAGCAACAAATCAAACAAACTTTCTACCTCAGATCAGATTAAGCATTTGATTCGTATCTCCTATTATATTTGTGTTTCCGATTGCAATATACATGTATGATTTATACGTTACACACACACACACACACACACACACACACACACACACACACATATGTACATGTATTTTGAAAGATGGATAGGTACGATAAAAGAGGAGAAAAAGCGTCTGTTACGATCAAAATAGATAATAAAACTTAATCAAAATGTACAATTTATCAAAACGGCAATTACGTTAAATACGGAGAAGGTAGTTAAATAGACGATGCACATACGTATGTATATATCGTGTGAAGTACGTAAAATCAAATTGAAAAATATAATGTCCGTGATAAAACTTTCGTCGACGCAATGATAGTTGCAGCAATATCGTTACGTTATTGGTACAAGTAGAAATTTTTTCAGCAAACTTCTGACATTTTTCTTGCTTCTTCACTGAGGTCTATGTCATGCACATGCGAAGAGATTCTCCTTCGAATCTCGTCTTATTAGCCATTTTACCGCAACTGATGATATCGATATTTTTCACGTAAGTACTTTAAGCGAATCGAAGGTTTCTGTAAAGTACTGAAAACGAACGGAATTGCTATCGTTTATTTTCCACGTTATTTTTAATCGCTGTCGAAACATCTCTCCTTTTTCAAATTTTATAATCAACAAAATTTTGCTTATATATAATCGTTCTAATAGTACCTCTTTATATCAAATATTACCAAGACCGTGCACGATGAATCTCGTATTCGTATTTACGTATTTCAAACGATACACAGAAATAAAATGAATACATGGAAAGTTTATAACATCATAACTATATGTATGATTATCAATCAAGTATTATCAACTACCAAAAGAGAATTTGAAATCACAGACAACAGTATATAAGGCAATATCTTATTTGTTCTAAAACCTGTGTTTTTAGATACAGAATTAATGTAGATACCGTAATTAATGTAGATAACTTTCGAAACCAAATGCAGCTGCGCGTATGAATGCAATATATTCAATGTCAAATAAAATAAAATCGTTAAATATTTATCATTAGATATGATTAGAGATGAGAGAGGGGGAGAGGGGACAGAGAGAAAATGAAATATGCTCGTGTTCTACTACATTTGATGCAAAGTAATGTTCTTTTATATCCACTGAAGAAAATCCCCACTCCTACTTTGCTTTACAACTATGAAACAGTTTATCACTCTTGATTCGCTTTGTCCAATGAAAGAAACGAAGAATTATTTGGTTCAATTGCATGTACATATAACTCCGTAACTTCGTATGCTCCAGAGCTATGTAACATGCATCGAACCAATATTAACTCGTGAGAGGGATGTGTTACAGTTACGCAAATTGAGAGCTTGATGTCACACGACACCTTGAAGGACTCCTAGAGTTACGTGACCCATATGAACGAAACGCGCGAACAGTATACCGTCAACGTGATCCATCTCCACTGCGATCACCACTCCAAGATTTCGTAGCTCAATGTCGCAACGATACCAATTACTGGCTTACATTAGTATCAGCTAACCTGTGATCTTACGCTTAAAAAAAGTGCATACATATATATATATATATATATATATACATTAAACATATTGTATTTCTTCTTTGACAATCTAGTTTTATCTAATCATCTTAACATAATTGGAACAGAATAATCCGATATTTTATCAGGACTACACATTTGATTGTCTTTTGACGACGGATCGGTGGTTCGATTCATGTTTATTAACTTTTTAACAAATTCGCTATGTCACAAGTCATCCCTACACAACTGATCTATAAACGTGCATGAAAGTGAATGTTTAAAAGACAACAATGACAACAACTCGAAATTTTCTCACGTTCACATTTTATTTTTATTTGAGAAAATTTTCACATTTTCAACAGCTAATTGCCTGCACTGTGCAATCCTACTATGTTAAACTATGTATGCATGCATGTGTATGGATATATACTTATATACATACGTATCTGCACATGTACGTCTCTATCGAAGTAAGAAACATTAAAATTCTACACTTGAAATCAAATGGCGCATAAGCGATTCATCAGTTATTCTTTTTTGCTATCATTAGTTTTGTAGGATAAGTTGTTCGACAAAAAAAAAAAAAAAAAAAAAAAAAAAAAAAAAAAAATGGTATTTCGAAGCGGTGAACTATTTTAACTGACAGTTATTTCAAGTAAAATAATATACGATTCACTTTATCGTTTTTAAAATATATATTGTTTGAAAGGAAGCACGTCCGGGTTAACAGAAAGTTATTTAGAGGTCCGTGGCGATCAAAAGGTTAACCTCCTGCGCTGGAATGACGTGCCACGTCGAGAATTTTCTGTTCAAAAACTGTAATATTTTCTCAGTTTTTAAGAAAAAAATATTAAGTAAATATTCAAGTAATAAAAAAGTAAAAAATAGTATAATATATAAATAATAGTATAAAATAAAAGTATTAAGTAAAAAAAAAAATATTTAAGTGAAACAAAATAAATTTATTACTTCTCAATAATTTTTATCCGGTGATATCGTACCGACGAGTTCAAAAAGAAAGCGACGAATTGTTGTACACGGTTTGGTCGCTCGTTATGGTCCGCAATCAGTACAGACAACGTCTTGACTAACAAAATCAATCTTTCCCAGAGCAAATCGATATATGTCGGTCATTAACATTGATCTTCGAAAAGAATTTCTCGGCAGGTATATAAGGAAGACGACGGGGGGACGAAAAATCCGGCAGCAGAAGGAAGTGGAGCACGGTCGACACAGCGATCCAAAAACGGATATGTCTGATGGGCGTCAAGAACGGGGAAGGGGGTAGGTCGGAGGGATGCTTTCAAACACATCGACCGATAAATTAAACGGTCGGCTGGTGACGTTCACGGCTTGACATCAAAGTACGAGGGAAGAGGGTGGTGAAAGACGGGTCTGGCAGAAACGTAGAGCGGGACGAACGAAGATAGAAAATCTTGCAGAAGGGTGGAACCTGGTGTAAGTACGAGAGACGAAAGAGAGAGAGAGAGAGAGAGGAAGAGAGGGGAGGGGAAGCGGAAAACGAGAGACAGAGAAGACGGCAGAGAGATAGAGACAGAGATAAAGAGAGAGAGAGAGAGAGAGAGAGAGAGAGAGAGAGAGAGAGAGAGAGAGAGAAAGATTCGCAAATTTCCTCGACGAGGAAAAACTTGATTACGAAATTTAGAAGCGAGCGTTAAAAGGATCGACCCCGTGGAAAGAGGGGTGACGGCAGATTGTTATACGGCACGGCTGGAAATGAGGCGCGAACGAAACGTGACATCATCAAGAGAAGTTAATTGCAAACGACGAGATAGTAGATTATAGCGCAAACTAGCTCCGGCACTTTGTGCGGCCCCCGATACGCCGGAGCGCGCCCCTTTTCTCTTTGCTCTCGTCTCCGCGGTCTTTACCAAGCCGAGCGAGCGCGAAGGAGAGAGCAGCCTATTTTCCTGTTCATTTTCTTCTTCGGAAGATCGAAAGAAACGGCCATGAAACGCCACCGGCCGTGGCTGGTGAAAGGAAACAGATCGCCGATCGATGGGAAGATCCTCTCTATGGATCGTTGTTTTCGACGAATTTTTTCTTTTTTTTTTTTTCTTTTTCGAATATTTTAAATGTTCTTTGGGTGATGATTATAAAATGTAAGATGCAGACTATGAATATTCATACATGTAATTTAAAAAGCAGAAATTTTCTGCTAAATATTGCAACGAACACTATACTGTCTATTTTAAATTCAGTAACATTTTTGTAAGACGACCGGATTCTTCATCTAAGACTCGTAAATGAAAATGTTGATTATCTGTAACGTCGCGTTTGAAAATTTATCTTACACAGTTTAATATTATGTATATTACTACATAATATTGTTACAGATCGAGTTATTACAGAATTCGATCTTCCCATTCACATCTAAAGTAACAAAACTTTCAAACAACTTAGTTCTCACGAGGCGATCAGAGAACAATCATCGAACAGATCTTTCGAGGGCAAAGAATCAGCGACAGAATCCACAGCAGCGTGACGTTCGCGGATCTACGAAATCGCCTGGCAGGCGTGTAACAGCCGAGGGATTTTTATCGAATGTTCGATCAGAGCGGCGGCGTTTCTGGGCCACCTGGCGCACCGTGCATCGGCCCGTTATTACCCGTTTAATAACATGTCATAATAATATGTAATTTCCTACGGATTACCGGGACCGAAGTCACCCCTCCGCTCGACGCGCGCCTCCATCACCAACACACACCGGTGAGGCACCGGTAAACGCGTATAAACGCGTATAAACGCGTATATAGAGAGCTAGGTCCCTGCAAAGCGACAGGGGAACCGAAACACGGATGAATGGACGAAGAAACGGAACGCAGAAGCAGGGGTTGCGCAGGAGGGGTTGCAACGAGATCGACAGCAGGCCCGATGCTATCGCCACTCTTTGTGATGAGATCCGGTACAATGATACAGAGAGAAGCCGTGTCTCTCTTACTCTCTTTTTCTCTTTCGCGTGTATACCAAGCGCAATACCCCAGAAGAGAGATCTCTCCCTTTTTTTTTTTTTTTTTTTTATTTCCAAGGACCCTGGGATGGAGAGAACCACCCCAGCCCATTTCGTTAATAAGGCGTTTGCCGATCTACGCGCGTTATGAATCGACACGGGGTCAAGCGGAAGAATCGCGCTGGATTATGATCGAAACTGTGGCAGTGATTCGCTTCCGGAGTTTCTCTCTCTCTCTCTCTCTCTCTCTCTCTCTCTCTCTCGTGCCGGCTGATTAACAGAGTGCTTCACGACCACGCGCTCGCGTTATGAGTTTCCATTTTTCTTTCTCTTTCTTCCTCTTTTTTTTGCACGCGTGCGTTCGTTTCTCCTTTTCCGCGTTTTTTTTTTTCTTTTTTTGGTGCGTATGATTGCGATTGGTTTGACCTTTGATCGGTAATGGGGTGGCAGTGTGCTTTTTGCCTTTATAGCGGAACGTATTATTCCGGAGGCTGGAGGATGCTCGTTCGGGATCCACTTGGAGGGTAGTTCAGTGACTTTTGGTTATGATTGTATTGAAATTGTTTAGAACAGATGGCTCGTGTTATCTGGTATCTAGTTGTTTCGAGGGTTGAAAAAAAAAAGAAGATCGATATATAGGACAGGCCCAATATTATCCGAGTTCAACGAGGGTTGTTCAGACTTTTTAGTTAATATCGCGCGAAGTTGTTTAGATTAGGTTAACTTATAACCGATTCGAGGATAGAAACGAAGTTTCATCGTCAATGTAGGACAGAGGTAATAGCACCTGGGTTGTTTCTATAGAATATCGCGCAGCGGGCTTGAAACGATCGGATTTAACTTAAAGTTACCGCTGGAGCGCCATTTATAAACTTTAATCGGTCCTTCGATCGGGGCTATCGAACTGCTATTTGGACGCGCAAAGACTGATTTTGTTAATTGAAATTCGATTTATCTTGCCTTATCTTTTCTCTGGGATACTTTGCATCGCATATTTTTCAAGTACCTTGAATTTTTGTATTTTCTATAATTTGTGTATCATCTTATAATTCACGTTTCTTCGCTTCGATGAAAAGAACTCTACTATCTCGGATTTGATTTCACGACAGTTCCCATTCAGACTTTTTTGTAATTCATTATGAGCACTTTATTTAAACATAGAATTCCCAACAATAGAATCTGACGTTAGACTCAGTTTTAAACTCTGTTATAGACAATTTACGTTTGTCACTGTGCACTACGAGTGTTTACGGTATTCCGAGCTAAGACTTTAATTTACAGCGCGCGCAAACAATCTTCTATCGAGTAACAATTTACGTAGCGAACTGCGATCTGTCATTTCCATGTATTACATCATACTTTAACATTTCGTACGTTCCTGCATATTTTCTGGCTATGGCGTAATATTTTTTCCAAAAATACTCTATGCAA